CAGTCTCAGCGGGGTGCCGCGTCACTGACTCAGGGGACGCCGACCTCCGGGCCAGCCTCCCCAGGGAAGGACGCTGACTCCTGCTGCCCAGCCGGCTTCAGCTGCTGGCCCGCCTGTGCCCACACCCGGGGGCCGGGAGCCCTTCCCAAACACCGCCTGCAGCCAGACTCCAGGCAGCGGCCCCTTCTTCTGCAAAGCAGAGGCTTCACAGCCGCCCACGAGGACCAGAGCCGGGTTCTGGCCCCCATCTCAGAGCCTCGGCCTCCCTGTCTGGAACAGAGGCTGCCCCTCCCTCCCACGTCCGCCAGGGCCCCCCCCCCTTTGAGGGAGGCAGCGGCTGACGCTCCATTCAGCAGACCAGGAGACTGAGGCCCAGGGCAGCACAGAGAGGCAGCGGTTCTCTCTCCGCACAAGCCCAGGCAGGAGGGCAAAGCGGCAGAAGGACCGGGGAGCAGGCGCGTGGGCGTGGGCACGCGGGGCAGGGGACCGAGGGCTTCGCGCTCCAGGACCCTGACCCCAAACCAAACTCAACCAACACACAGCCCTGGGGCCGCCCTGGGACCCCTTCCGGGCGCCAGGCCCCCAGGCACGAGCACACAGCCCCCCGCCCGGCCCCAGCTCGCTCTCAGGCATCAGCACCGAAGGAGTCAGTGTTTCTTCTTTCTGTCCTCATTTCCTTTAAACAGCCTCTGGCCAGCAGAGGGGCTGAGTGAGTGGCCCTGAAGTCTTTCCTGAGCCGTGAGAAGTTCCACTAAGAGGAGCAGGCAGCCGGGAGGGGGAGGACGCAGTGCCAGCGGGGCCAGCGGGGCCAGGGAGGGGCGGGGCTGGCGGGCACTCACGGGAGAGGCAGCCCCGGTCTCCAGGCTGCTGGCTCCACCCGGGGCAGCACCTGAACACGGTCTGGGCCTCCATGCTGTACACGTGCCTGTAGCCGGTGTAGTAGACGGTTCTAGGAGAGAACAGAGAAGCCAGCATTACTGTCGAGGGACCAGGCTCGAGGCATTTCTGCCCGCTGCATTCGGCGTCCCCCAGGCTGATCCTCGGACGGCTCCCACTTCCCAGCTGAGCACGGAGGTGGGCGGAAGGTCTGCGCCCAAGGCTGCACTGCGAGCACGCGGGGCCACGGGGGTGGCCGGCCAACCTGGCACCAGCAACAGGGGAACCTGCCACCCGTTCCGTCACTACCCCCATGGTGGCCCCAGCTCTGAGCCAGCTTCAGGGCGGGCATTGTGCCCCAAATTCGGCCCTTATCACCAGGCCAGTCTACAAGGGTCTGGGGGTCAGACTCAGAGTGGCTCCTGGAATGAGCCAAGTGGGCCGAGCGCTGGGCAGCCATGCCCCAGGCTCTCAGCCCACCAGGGCACCAGGAGGCAGGCAGTGGGCCAGTCCGGGAGCATCCGCGAGGAGGGGCCGCTTCCCCCACCGAGGAGCACAGGGCTGAACTGGGGAGATAGGCCGATGGGGCTGAAGCGTTTTTGGGCAGCAGCAGGATGACCCGAGTGCGCTCAGCACATGATACTGAAGTCAGAAGGGAGCAGGCGGGAGGGCTTCCTGGAGGAGGGCAACCCGGAGGCCAGGGTTGCCTTGGTCCAAGGCCGGTTCCTGCTCGGACGGGACAGGTGCAAGCTCACAAGGGCTGAGCAGAGGGAGGCAGAGCCTCATCCAGGAGCTGGGGGTAGGCAAACAAATCTGAGCAGCCTGGGGCCTGGCACAGGGAGTGGCCATAGGGAGGTGGTGCCCACGCCAGACAGAGACAGCCTCATGCAGAGGGGAAAGGGCCTCCTGTCTGCCTCCCCCCCAAATCCACAGACTGCCCCCGACCACGTGTGCCCCAGCCACTCAGGGCCACCCTCTGCCAGTCCAGCCCCACCTCCTGCTTCTCCTGGCATCTCCAGCCCCCAGGGTGGGCAGTCTTGGCAGACCAGCTGGTGAGGAGCTGGCTCCCCCAGCCCCGGACTCATCCTGCAACCATGAACCTGGAGCAGAAGCCAGGGCGGGGGTAGAGGGTGCCCCAGTCCTACTCAGGCCTCAGATGGCCCCCCACCCCCAACCCCCTCCTGTTCTAGCTGCACCCCAACCCCAGGGCTCCTGTGTCCCTGCTTCTCTTCAGCTGGGCCTCAGATTTTGGATGGGTCTCTGTTCCTCCTGAAAGCTCTGGTTCAGCTTCTTCAGAGAGCAGGCTACAACAACCCAAGGCCAACACTCCCTGGGGAGCCGCCCCGCCGACCCCCCTCCTTCCCACCTCCGTGCAGACAGCCGCCCCCACCCCCCAGCTGGTGATGCTCAGGAAGACGACGGCTCACCGCCCCCTGCCTGCCCCAGCCCTGTGTCTCTCACTGCTTGTGCTGGCCGAGCAGTGTCCCCCACATCCGTGCCTACCCAAAACCAGTAAACGTGGCCTTGTTTAGAAATAAGGTGTCGGCAGATGTTATCAAGTTACGATGAGACCACCATACTGGTTTGGGCGGGCCTACTCCAGTGACCGCTGTCCTTGTAAGAAGAGGGAACTGCGAACACAGACAGAGGGCGAGGCCATGAGACAACAGAGGCAGAGACTGGGTGATGCAGCCACAAGCCCAGGACCACCCAGGATGGCCGGTCGCCACCAGGAGCAGGGGAGAGGCCGGGAGCACCCAGAGGGAACCACCCCTGCCCGCACCCTGGTCTCAAACGTCTGGCCTCCAGACCGTGAGAGATGAATCCCTGCTGTTCTAAGCCGCCCGGCTTGTCATAATTTGTCACAGCAGCAACAGGAGATTAATACCGGACCAGGCTCACTCAGGCCGTCAGGTCCACGGCTGGGAGGCCCTGGTGTTTACAGCGACAGGCTGGTCATGGGGAGGAGGGGGGCAGGAGGTAGGGAGAGGGACAGAGAGAGTGGAGTCCCAGGAAGAGAGGGAGGGGATGACCCACCCTGCGGCCACAAGGGCACAGCATCCCACCCGCTGCCGTCTGAAGCGTCAGTGGCGGGGCCCAGCCCACTGGATCAAGGGCCCTTGAGACCCCGGGAGCGGCGAGGGCCTGGGCTGCGGTCTCCAGGGAGCGGAACACCCCCTCACCTGCTCTTCCCAGCAGGAAGTCTGGGGCCACCCAGGGACCTGGACACACACACAAACCTGGGCCACTTCCTGGAAGCACCAGTGCCTGACCGTGCACCGCGTGGGAGCAGCTGGGGGCGTCTGCACAACGCCGCTTTGGCAGGACATGAATCCACCTGCCCGGAGAGAAACCGACCCCAGCGGCGGACAGTGTCCGGCAGCGCAGACGTGTTCGGGCGCTTCCACTGTAAATATTTATCCTCTCCCTGGGCTACGTGCTGCTCCTCCTGGTCACGGGAGGCCGGGGCCAACCGGGCCCGTCCGCCAGCCTCCCCAGTGTGAGCGACCCTGGGAGACAGCCAGTCAGCCCTTGTCCCCACTGCCCCCACAAGCCAGCCCTCGCCCCCTGCAATTCATATGGGACCCCTCTTGTGGGACATCACACGGGACATGGCTCACACAGGACACAGCTCACAGGGGACAGTCACACGGGACACAGCCCACAGGGGTAGTCCCAGGACACCGCACGTGGGACAGTCACATGGGACATGGCTCACACAGGACACAGCTCACAGGGGACAGATCACGTAGGACAGCTCACACAAGTCCTGACCACAGGGCCGGGGTGGACAGGGGGGCACGGGTACCAGGCTGGTGCTCACTCCTCCACCTTGTGCAGCCCCCCGGAGCCCAGGCCCCAGGGCAGCGGGAGCCGGGGGAGGGGCCTGGTGGGAGGC